CGAGTTTTTTGGGCGTGAATTTCTGCGAGGATGTCATGTGCTTTTGGACCAGGCTTTTTTTTTTTGTAGTTTTGGGGCTGCTGCTGTGCTGGTTTTGCTTTTGCTCTGCTTTTTCGGGGTGTTGTCGTCGCCCAAAAAGCAGCCAACATTCAACCGACAACTCAACTCAACGCGCTCAATTCGAGGTTGTTTACCCAAAACGTAGAATTCGTTGAACTTGAATTTTTATCGCTCGCAAAAGGTTCTGGCTGCCCCTCCCACTAAATGGGCGGTGGCAGCTGCTGCTCGACAGTTTCCAAAATAAGAAAATATATAAGCAAACAAATGTTTACAGCCCTTTTTTGCCGCCGGCCAAAATGTTTGCTTAAAGCCTCCGGAACGCCCAAGTTTTCCACGAAACAATCAATTATGTGGGCGTTCGCCAAGGATTCGGGTGACCTTTAGTTTATTGGTCAATGGAAATATAAGATCTTGGGTTAATATCGGAGTGAAATCAAATGGTTAATTGAGTGGAATTGGCAATTTATTGGTTTTGTTGCTGAAACGTAATTTTGAATCAAACAAATTAATTCAACCTTATACACTAAATCCCAATTTTTGAGCAAAAAATCTAAAATGTTTTATGCCAATATTAAGATTTTTGAATTTAAAAATTATTTACTTACGTTTATATAATCTATACATGAGATTAAATAATTACTTTTCTTGTAAATTTATTTAAAGTTTGAGTTTTAAACCTAAATTTTGATTGTAATGTATTCATAAAACTTTTAATTTTATTACAAGCCCAGTTTCACCCAAAGTATAAGCCATCTTTGATCATTTAAAAGTCGTTAGAACCCTTTTGTTTGCCAGCAAAAATGTCCACAGTCAATTAACTCGGCCGCAAAGTCCTTTCGGCCACGACGCCTCAAAGTCGACCACAAATTTTCATTTAATTTGACGGCCAGCTGCAAGCTCGTCCCCCAAAGTGAACAAAAAAGTATTCTGGGTAAAATGCAAGATGTCAAATTAATGTTTGACAAGCCAGGCGCCGCAAGTCGCCCAACAAAATCTACCCGAAAATTTGCAATTTTCAAGCCCGTCCAGCGAAAAGAACAGTTAAAAATATGGTGTGAACATCAGGCGAAAACAGTGCGAATGGCGATAACAACAACGAGAACCAAATAAAAAAAAAACACAAATGTGTTACGCAGCATTACAAAAACAAAGCCGAAGCAAAATCGAAGCGCTTTTGGGACGCAGTTGAATGTCCGCAGGTCCTGAGTTCATTCACCGTTGAAACCAAAATCAAGATACAAAACGGCAACTGCGACGCCGGCAGCGCAGTCGTAAGACACAGCGCAAAGGCAAAAGAAGTGAAATACAAAAAAAATATATACTAAAAAGAACACACTGGGAAAAACTGATAATTACAAGTTTTTCATAAAGGAAAGAAAAGGATTTCAAAGACAGCGGAGAAGATGCTCTTGAATCTAGATAAATGTCCTTGATTTTAAAACTTGTACAGAAAAATACAAACACTAGAAAAACTTGTTTATTCGAACAAAAATGTATTGTTTTTATATATTAAATAAACAATACACACCCTCTACTTCCTCATAACATTTTAAGCCCTAAATTTATAAAATAAGATATTTTCTTATTCTGGTAATTAAACAGTAAATGAATCAACCAAAATTTCTTTATTTTCTCGTACATGTTAGGAAACCATTGTTTCCAATTTTTTTTTTTTTTTTTTTTTTTTTTATTTATTTAGTGCAGAATCTGTACAGCAAATTAAAGTACTTAACAACACAGGTGTCACCAATGAGAAAAGTAAACCAAACCTCAGCATTAAGAAGAGGATTATATATAGTATTTTCTTATTGATTCCTTATCGTCTTGGCAAAGCCTTGCCTTTTGAGACGCCTCAAAGGTCTCGCTGGGAGTAGATTCCTAGCCAGTAAGCTGCGGTGTCTTCCTAATCTATCTCGGTATCGGCTTGTGTGTCTCCCAATCTGTTCTTCCACAGTGTGTAGATTTAGGTCTCTGTGAAGTGTCGTGCCACGCACATACCAGGGACAGTCAGTAATGGTACGTAGAAACCGATTCTGCAACACTTGTAACCTTTTGTAGTTCGATTTGGCTGCGATCCCCCAAATTTGAATACCATAAAGCCAGATTGGCAGGATACAGAATGCATATACTGCCCTCTTGCATCTCAGCGGCAAAGTGCTCCTTCTGTGTGTAAGCCAGCGCAGTTGCTGAATCCTTTGGTTTCATTTTTTGACTGTTGCTTTCAGATGTGGTCCGAACGTAAGGCGCTTATCCAGTGTGATACCAAGATATTTTGCTTGCGACGGCTGTTCCAAACTGACTCCCTCTAGCTGGATTTCAGGGGTGTTAGATACAAGTCTCTTCAGTGTAAAGCAGGGGTTCGTAGTTTTTTGCGGATTGATTCTCATATTCCAACGTTTACACCAAGCAGCAAGATCCTTAAGGTATTCTTGTATTCCATTTGCTGCTTCCCTCCGACATCTGGAATTGTAATACTTAAAAAGAGAAAATAATAAAAGATTAAAAAATGTTCGATCCATTTATGCAGAACCGTTTATTATTTCAAAAATTCCTAATAAAAACTATAATTCGGTTAAATTTACAGTTTCAAAACTTAAATACTTCAGTAACAACAATTATTTATAGTAAGAAAAATCACACAAAGTCAAAATATTCCAAAATGCTTTCCCCTTTCGTTTGTGCAATTTGAGACTTTTGTGGTATGCTTATGTAATAATGATAGCAATACAAAGAAGCAAAAACTTCTTGTAAAAGAAAACCACTTAGTAATAATTTAACCCAAATTATCGCCCTGCTCAAGGAAGTTCTGAAAACTTCAGGGAAGGAACCACAGCCAAAACTTTCAATCGTGAATTGCCAGAATCCGCGGCATACTCTCAGGCGTTTCATTAGGGACCGCATAGCTAAGATGCCTTGACCTGCCAGAGCTGCGTACTTCAGCCTTTCTGGCCAAAAGCGACAAGGAAATTTAATCAAATTTGCATAAATTCCGCTCGAACAGAAAACGCTCAAAAATGCTCCGAATGCTAAGGAATGCGACAAAGGCAAAGCGCCAGCAGAACACACATACGAACATAAAGTTTTATTGTCATGTGGGGGTCCTCATTGAATTTGGCTCTGCCTTGGCCAAAGCATACTTTAAAGGATAATATATGCAGCTCGGCTCTGTCCTTTTTGTGCCCCCTGTGTTTTCTTTTATGGCAATGGCCTCTCAATTGGCAATCAATTTGCCTTAGTCTCTGCGGGCCAACTTTTTCTTTCAAGTGTCAGCGACAGCCATGATAATAAAAGCGAAAAAAGGCTTAAAATCAATTTTCGTTAAACCCTTCGGAAGGCTCACAGACAAAGGCAGACATAAAAATGAAAATGATTACCAATGGCCCGAGCTCTGGAAATTTTTTTAATTAAAAACCGTTAAAAGCGGCGCCAACGACTGTCTGCAAAATGAGTGTATAGCCGGCAGTCCCCAGAAAAGCAAAAAAAAAAAAAAAAACAAGGAAAATACATAAAACAAGGCTGAGTTCAAAATGGCTGCTGCCAAAAGCAGAAACACACGCGCCGAAAGGCTGGGGAAAATCGGAAAGCGGAAAGGATGCCACTTTCGGCATCAAGGTGCACCGCCTCCTTTTCGGGCCTTTCCAACATGTTTGCTACAATTTGGCTAACTAGCACAAAGGCTTAAACACACACACTCTACGTCCTGGCTGTGTTTGTCCTCCTTGTTTGCCTTCTCGTCAAATGTCAGAGAACAAAAGCCAGACAGTGCGACGTCGTTGTCCTGGCAGTTCGACGAGGTGTTCTTGCCATAATTTGCAACTCAATTTTGCTCTGATTTTTCGGAGCTCTTTCCAGTTGGACGCTCTGAAGTTTGTTTGGCCCAAATGTTTCACTAAGTAAACTTAAATGTAATATAAACTTTTTAAGTACTACTCAGCATGCTGCAAATTACAGTCGCTAGATAACTTTTTAGCGGTATCAACTTGCTTCCCTTTGATTGAAATTTAAGTCCCAAAGTTCTACAAGTTGTTCAGGAAAGCTTTAAACATAAATTAAAATCCTTAAATATTTGATTCCTAAGAGAAACATCTGAATAGCTATTTTAACCGTATTTACACATAATGGAAACCAGAACACATTTTCTAGTTAAACCAAATTCCGTAGTCAATCGTTCACCCATAGAGGTCCTTGTCGTCCTTGGCAGCTTTCTGCTCTGGTTAATTTGCAGGCACTTTGCTGTAATTTCATTGGCATATCCTGTTCCTGGTACTGATGTTTCTCTTGCCAAGGCTTCTGCCATTGGCAAATCTAGTTTGCTCCGGTGGTTGCCTCCTTTTTGGAGGCATCAACGCGTGAAATTTGTAGCAATGGCTGCCAAACGATGAAGTCCTTGAAAAACGCGAAACTATTCGGAAGCGGCAACAAATTGAATGGGAACGATTGTTGCCACTTTTTCATTTACGCTGAACTCACTCCCTTCAAATTCTCTCAGGCAGGGATAATTTATCAACTTTTCTGCTGTTCAAGTGCAGATGGAGACAAAAAACCCCTTCTGCAGATTTGTAAAGCGATATAGAAGGATGCAGTTTCAGTCAGAGGATAACACTTACATTTATTTGCCTCTTGCTGTCGTAGAGTGTCAAGCGCTTAGCATGAAGATAAGTGGTTTCACAAACATTGGAAACGAGGGAAATCTCAGAAATTTAATAGGTCAGAAGGATAGGCAAAAACCAGTGAAGAAAAAAGAGGTTCTGGGGGATAAATGCAGCAGTTTTGCTTTTAAGCAACTCTTTAAATCGGGCTTACATTTCTTAAAACTACATTTATCAAATAAGTTACTTGCCATTTAAATAGAAAAAAATTATCTTTATTTGAGTGGCAAAATTGTAGTCCAGATCAAAAAAAAAAAAAAATACATCTGAACAATAAATAATCGTTAAAACTTGCAAAACAATTTAAATTTTTATTGTGTTCTCGTTACTCACATTAATCCTTATAAATAAATCATTTTTAAACAATCACAATGCAAGCTTGATCTGAAATCAATTCCCCACCATAGTCCTTCCCCAGAAAATAACCATCTATCACCAGCCACTTGACAGATCCACTGGTAGAGGAAATTAAATTTGCAAATCCCATCGGCCACATTCAAGAGTCGTTAGTCCCGGCCAACTGTTAATGACATTTAAGCTGATGTTCGTTTCATTAATTAATTAATCAATCAATCAATCAATCAGCACGCACACACATACATACATGGTAAAAGCCCGCGGAATGACGAAAATCAATCAAAACCGATACTGATTGAAATTCACTTTGGTCCATTTGTGGCGCCACAAGTTGTAGACCAGCAGTGCCACCAAAATCACATTCGCGGACTTTACGAGCTGCTTAACCAAAGCTCTCCGCTGTTCGCTAAAATTGGGATGAATATAATAATAACTTTTTCATTATAAAACAAAAAGTTGTTTTTGCTCACCTCATTACCGCTGAGCTGCGCTCTCTTAAAACAATTCCGCCTCCCGGGGGCAGATTAAGCCCAAGGACCTCGGCCAGAATGCTGTCTCTGAATTATTCAAATAGTTTATATTAAATACCTCACTCGATTCCGGAGCAGGCAGGGTGAAAACGAGAGCGAAATGAAACGCAGCGGGGCATATAGAAAGCAATATATATATATACTCTTAATCCGTTGAGAGCCTCTGTTCAACGTGGCGTAATGGCAATGAAATGTTAAAACTTGTGTGAATCAGTTAAGCCCTGAGAAATTTTTAATTTACTTGTGTTCTCTTGAAAGTATGTATACTTATCGCTTTAATCTTTTTAGTTCTCAGTAAATGTTGGTAAATTTGGCAAAGACTGCAATAATCACTTAGGCTTTTGACATTTAATCCGCCTTAGAAATTTTTAAATATCTCGTGTTATAATTCAATCTAAGTAATAAAGAATACAAGATTTAATAAAACGTAGCTGCTGGCTACACAGCTTTATTTCTTAATTGCTTTAATATTCTATTTCTCTGGCTACTAGAAACTAATGAATTATAAAGGTTGATCAACTAAAAACTTGCTAAAAATTACATTTAAATTTCATAGATTTTCACAAAATTTGCCTCACTTTTCCGACAATTACGAACTTACAACTTCTAATCCAAACAAGAGCCATTTGTTGGCAAAATGTTTGTGTAAGCATCGAGCAATCAAAAGTTTCCAACAAGTTTGCCATAGTTGCCGTTCGCAAACATTTAATTCAGTTATTAAGGGACATTTAAAAACTTTTCCATGTGATATTTTATATTCCCGGCTTGGGGGCATTTCCGAAATGGGGAGCTGGAAATCTACGCCAGCTCCATAAATCTTTTTTAAGTTCGTGGGTGTTTTCTCTTTCCATACATGAAAAATTACTGTGGCCGAGCGAGAATGAAACACAAACATCAGAAGCGGCCAAGTTCTGGGCAACTTGCCAGGAGCAGGCGACGATGTGGCCACTTCTTTTTTTTGCCGGTCAGGAGCTGTTTCCGACCTCTGACCCCCACACCCCCCTTGCCTTCATTAGCGCCGGCCAGCGTTAAATTCAATCTATTCGAGTCGAACGAAAAAAAAACACACACACAAACAGCTGTCCGCTCCACGGTCATTAATTTTCCCCCATTTTGTATTCAATCGCGTGACATTTTGAACTGGAAATGCAATTAAAGAGCAAAGTTTGCCGCCATCAGCTGGTAATTCCTCTAATCCCGATCCGACTAGACGAGCCGACAGACGAGACCCTCTCTGGCGGCCAGGGACAGTGCACTTGCGGCCAGGGATTCACTGCAGCGGGAGTACAGAAAGAAATTGGAGTGAATGTGGGTTATACGGGAAAGTAGTTCTTTTATAGATTATAGATTATACCGAATCGATGCTATTCTTATAAATATTTAAATTGACTGGAGAAATTTTCATTAAAAGGTTAAAAGGTAAACTAACTTCTGACTTTAATAAAAAATAAATTAAAATTAGTATTACATTCTACTAATTAAAAACTGATATCATTATTATTCTTTTTATTGCTTTGATTAGATTTCAAGAAAAATGAATTTATTTCATAATTTTTGTAATTTGAAAATTTAAATTTTGCTAAAATATTTTAGAAATATTTAGAAGGCCAAAAGGAAATTATTTTTAAGTTTTTCTTAGTATTGCTACTTTTAATTTTGAGCAAAATTGGTTTTCAATTGATTTAAAATCATAAGTTTAGGATATGTTTTAAAAGAGAGGAAACAAAAATGTTTTCGGTGTAAAGCGGGGAATGGATGACAGTAAATCGAAGGGGCGAACTTACCCAGGTTGATAATTGGAATTCACTCCGGAAACTTCAACAACCAGTTTCTTAGGTTGGTTTATGAACTCCGTGAGATTCACCAACTGTTCCTTGTCGCTCACATTAATGACGGTAATTATCGACTCGAAATTGGGATACGAGCTGCAAAATTACTTTGAAACTAATCAATGTGTCTAAAGGGTTTCCTTTAAGCACCCACCGCTTGAAGGCGAAGACCCATCGCGAAATCGGTTCGATAGTGAATCTGCCCAGGCGCATTATGGCCGACCTTCGCAGCTCAATCAGGTCCTTGTAAACCTGATAATGGCTCTTTTGGGCTGCCTTCTGGGCCTCCAAATTCAGTTCGAGGTAGTTGGGGTGGACGGGCAGCCAGGTTTTGGAAGCGGTGGAAAAGCCTGTACGAATCAGATGAGATTTATAAACTTTAATTGCAAAAAAAAAATGATAAAGAATTTTATATTGCTTAAAATTATAATACATTGACAAATTAATACATATTATAAATTGTAGAAGTTATTTGGCTTTGGTGTTAAATTAATATGCTTGAGTTTTAAAGAAACAAACTGTTAACTAATAAAAACTGAATCAAGGAAACTACAACTACATATGTAAGTTCCAATGTATTTCCAGTGTAATACAACAAAATAAATAAGAACAAATGGCACAAAACGCAAATATACAAAACAAAAACCGAAACCGAACAAAAGCTTTTAACGCACATTGCGGCTTGCGAGAAAGAGATAGTCCGATGGCGAGTGAAAGAGATGGCAAGAGTGCGAACTGCGCTTGTGTGTGTGTTCGTGTGGGCGTAAATGTATGCAAATAAAATGCGTGTGCGAGACTTTTGAAGTGGGTTAATATTAAAACAACAATAACAAACCCAAAGAAAACCCCTCGGAACAAATGCAAAAAAAAACACACACACGAAAATTCCAAAGAACAATTGTCAAGCCAAAGAAAAACACTCTGAAAAGGAAGATATCGAAGGACAGGAGATCATCGACCGCAGTCAATGTAAAGAAAACCGCTGCTTTGGTCAGTCCATCATAGATAAATCGCATAAATACATATGTCTTAATCCTAAAAAGATAAAATGCCATTCGATTCCTCTCAGTGACGCATTTGAAAAGAGTTTATGCTAATTTTACGGGGGCTTTCCTAACTGCCCTGGGAAATATGCTACGAATGGTTTAACCCACCGCTGAGACGCCTAAAAGCAGGCAATAAACTTTTCTGTGGATTAGTGGCATAGGTTTAGTGGCGGCTTGGAGTTGGTTAGGTTTAATGGTTCGGGTTAAGTGTAAAATTAAAACGGGAAAAGAGTATCTTATTCAAAATGTATTTATACCTACTCCTATTTAAAATATATAAAATAATACAACATCTTATAGGAACAATATGTCATAACAAATCTTTTTTGGCATTAAATTTATGAAGGATCTCAAAAAGAAGCATTTTGATCAGTTCAATTTTTATCACAACCCTGATAGACAAAAGCAATAAGTCCCACGTGTTGTCCCATTTAATCGTTTTCTGTACGTAACACAATTTTCTACCAAACAGCTCTATAAAAAAGCGACAAACAAGCGATGTCCTGCCGTGGATGAGGACACGCGCAATCATAATTACACAATTACACAACAAAAGCGACATAAACCAAGTGAAAAGAAAACAAAATACAATATTTGACGAAGGAATAGGATAGAAAAGTTGTGTGGAGATGGTGAAACGTTGCTCACATGTCAGTGATAAATGAACAATTTATTAAATCACCACGTAGCCAAATAGAAATCAAAGCAAATGGGGCCAGAGTCGAATGAATTAGATGGATAGATGGCGACACCAATGGAAATGGTGATGGAGACAGATGAAGCTACGTACTATATGTTTGCCTGGATATTGGATCCCAGCGGAAAAGCGAGAGTGCGAGTCTGTGTGCCTACCACTGATTTATTGTTCGAGCCAAGTGCCTGGAAAAGCTAAGCCTTCGAGAGGGGAGGCGGGAAAATAAACAGGAACCTCTGAAAAGTTGGTCTGATGTTGATAGATGATATGGGATGTACGTGCATATGAAAATCAAAATATTTTATGTAATTTGGGGTTTAAAAAATTACTTAAATAACAAATCAATAAATTAAAAGAAAGGGAAATAAGATATTAAATTTTACAATTAATTCGGGAGATTTTTTGGTATAATTTTTAATTTTTTTAATTTAGAGAATCAATCTCTCCAAGATTTTTTGTTTTTGAATTCGGATTTATTTTATAATATATGTTTTATTCAAACTTGCTGAATTCTTGCATTTACCTTGTCAACTGTTTGTGCTTTGTTATTTCCTAATTTAACCCTTTGAAACCCTTCAGCTTTTCGTTTGTCAACTTGCCTCCAAATAAAAAGCGAAACTCGATTGGGAATCGATTTTTCGAAGTAGTTCTCTTGAATAACATCGAGGAAAAGTACACGCGGCTGTAATAATTAAATCGAATTGAACAGGAGCCCAAGAAGCGGCCCAGACCAACCGAAAACCAGTCGAAGAACAAGTTCGAGTGCCCCCCACTTCGCCCTTTTCGCTTCCTGCTCCGTTTTCATGGCATTTTTTTTTTTCGCTTTTGTGCGGGCATTTCCTAGGCTCCCAGAATGACGTCAGCGCATAAATTGAACTATTTTTATAACCAGCAACGTGTAGGAGCCACGCATATCGAATAAAATGTGGGCATGTTTGGGACATTTATTCGTGGCTTCTGGTCGAAAAACACAAGTTGTTGTACATTTCTGCCTTTACTTGGCTCTCTCTCACACACACACATACACTCTAACACACACTTACACACACACTCACACTTCATTAGGCGTTCAGTTCAGTGAACCCGAAGTTCGTTAGCAGGACATTAACCGAAATCCTTTTACGACTTTTATTCTAATTGATTAGCCCTCTAGTCGGAGCTCCTAACACCCCCAAAAAAAGAAAAAAAACAAAAAAAACGGAAGGTGTTTTTTGTGTGTTGGCCTTATCTAATCAATTGATAGCTCCCATTCGACACGTGCCCCGCTCCCAAAAGCAACTCGATCGAACTCTGCGATATCTTCATTCATTTGCTGCGGTTCATTGGCATTGACACCTTTCTTCCGCATTTCTCCATGGCGGGCGGGTTCCACTCCCCCTTTCCCCTTTTTCCGTCTTATTATCGCTCCTTTTCTGGGGATGTATCTGATTCTCTATCACTGACTTCGACAGAATAAACTGTCATTCGAATGCGCGGCTCTTTCAATTTGATTGCATGACGCGACCACTTTTCAGATTATCAAACGATCCCAAACCAGTTTAAAAACCGTTAAAGAATATCCTATTCGTCGGGCAATTTATTGGGGATTAATTGTTAAAATTGGCTTTCGGGGAGAAAATATCTATAACCATGCAGAAAATGATCAGATTGATGAACTTCCTAAAACGGAAATCGAATTATAACTACAAATATGGATGGATTTGTTACACAAGTTTCGAGGCTGATCGTAAAGTCTATTAAAACGCAAAAAATATATATTTGTAATTTTGAATTGTATGTAATGTATTTTTTAAATGTTTACTTCATTTTAGATAATTTGTAATGTAATTAGAACATTGTAACAACAAAACGTTTTAATAAGTAATTCAACTTCAACTTCAACTTCAACTTTTTGCTTCATATTCACGCTTTATTGGCTTTGTTAACCCTGAATAATCAAAACTGTTCAAAGTGAGACCGCATAAATCTATTTTTATTAAATCTACACACGTTTCAATTTAACAACAACAACACAGATTCATTATACCAAGAAGTGTTTATTTATATTTCAGCTTGAAAGTTGAGTATGACTTATTTTTGTTCAATTGCCCTCGCTTGTTTACAAAATCGTTTCTCTCAACGACGAAGAAAAGGCAAAAACGTTGATGGCCAAGTGATAAATCATTTAAAATAAAATAGCGGCCACTTTAAAAGACAATTTTGAGTCAAATGAGTAATTTACTGACACCTTGAAATAGATTAATTTTATTATGCTAAAGAAGCTATAGCTTTAATTATTTAACCAATCACTTAACTAACTAAGTTTTATTTCTTTTTTCTTTACAGGTAAGCAAACATTTATTTTCCACCTTGAAGGCCTCGTAAGTTTTAAGACATACACATATAAGGCAGTATAATTTATTTTTTCTTTAACTACGCTCAAGACAATTTATATAATTGCTTCTAAGAAAATGTTTACCATATGCTCAGTCTAACGATGATATATATTTTACTTAATCTTGCTCTTCTCATTCGGTAGTTAATTATTTTAAATCCCATAAAGTTCTTAGGATGTTTCTGTCACACCCTTTTCAAATTATTCCATCTTTCGAATAAATCAAAACTCTTATAAATGGCTTATGTCAACACG